ACTGTCATCGATCAGCAGGGGTCCTGGCCACCGTGTGCCTGTCTCTGTGCCAAGCTAGCCTGACTCTTGGCCAAAGAGGCTGGAACACATGTCCTAAAAATGTAAAAATGGAAATACTGGGATTCATGCCCAAAGGATGTCAACACACACACTCTCTCTCTGTGTGTCTTTGTCACATGAATTCCAGCTTTACACACCCCTGTATGTGCACACTCACGTGCATGCCTGCACACATATATAGACGTACTTATTCTCACATACTGATATACATTTAAATATTCTTTCACATATCCCCATGTACTTATATACACACATTCGCACATACTTGAATATACACACATGTAAATATGCTGACTCAAATGCTGGTACACACTTAAATATCTATATGTTCATAAACATCCACATACAAATACATAAATGAGAATAATATACTTTATGTACATTCACTCTTTTTAAAAATTTTATTAAACTTAAAATAAAAAAGGGTCTTGCTCTGTCACCCAGGCTGGAGTGCAGTGGTGTGATCGTAGCTCACTGCAACCTTGAACTCCTGGGCTCAGGCAATCCTCCCACCTCAGCCTCTCGAGTAGCTAGGACTACAGATACATACCAGCATGACTACAAAATTTGACTGCAAAATTTTTTTGTAGAGATGGGATTTCACTATGTTGCCCAGGCTGGTCTCGAACTCTGGCCTCAAATGATCCTCCCACCTATACCTCCCAAAATTCTGGGATTATAGGCGTGAGCCACCGTGCCCACCCTACATTCACTCTTAAAGTACTTTCACATATCCTACATATGCACAAACTCACAGACACATGCACATCCACACTTAAACATTTTCACATGTACATATATAAGCACAGAAACACACATCCTTATATCCATACCTATACACGATCATACATATTTCTCTTTGAGGTTACGCGTCTAAATATATTCAAACCAGCATACACATACACACACGCCTACACACACACCTGCACAGCCCCACAGTGTACCCATGCACATACTAAATATATTCAAACCAGCATACACATACACACACGCCTACACACACACCTGCACAGCCCCACAGTGTACCCATGTACATACATACTACACGGACGCACACATGCTGCAGTGCACACACTTATCACACTTATAAGCACACATGTCCAGACCAGCTGGATGGGTTTCCTTTCGGGTCCAGCCCTAGGATTTTCCCCTGCAGACTGCCAGAAGGGCTGCTCCAGAACAGGACCTTCTTTCCTCTTCTCCCTCGCTCATTCCTGTTTCGATTGACACCTTCCCTTTGCTGCACAGACTCAAAGAGTCCCTGGAAAGGTCAGATGAAGGACAGGAAGGCTCAGCCCTCCCCTTGTCGGGAATGGATAGAGACCCCTGCTGCTTTGCTGGCTGCCCGTCTCTGCTCTCAGTCTATTAGCTCTGGTGAATAAAGCCAGGCCCTGGGAGGCAGACAGTTAGGCCCGGGGACTCCGGCTGTTTATAGAGCCGCACTGCACTCCTGCTGTTTCTGGAGAACAAACGCAGCCTGGAAGGTTTCTGACACCAGGACTGTGTCCACATTACCTTGGACCCACGGGGCCCAACCAGCTTTTTGTGTGGTTAGAGAGGGACAGCCCCGGGCTGGAAGTCAGGGAGCCTGGGCTGACGGTGCCACTAATTAGCCGTGTGTGCATCGTGGGCAAGTGCAAGCCTCTCTCGGGCCTCCGGTTTCTATATCTGCTCAGTGAAATTCCCTTTCGGCTCCAATTGCCCATGATGAAAGGAGACAAGCAAGGGCTGGGTAATCCCAAACATCTAGGAGTAGTTAAATATTTATATTGGGCTCAGGAGACCACGTTCAAAATTTACCTCTGTCACTTATTAGCTGTGTGTCCTCAGGAAAATAACCTAGCCTTTCTGATCCTCAGTTTCCTCATCCATAAACCGAGGATAACCTTTCCCACCTATGGGAGTTGTTGTGAGGCCTAAATGAGATGATATATGCAGAAGTGCTCTGCACACTGTCTGGCACATAGTAGCATCTGGTGTGTTGAGAACAAGTTGTTGTTATTAGCAAGTCCAGTCTTGCTCCTAAGAACATTTGAGTGACAAGGAAAGAGGCTTAGACAGGAAAGTGGTACAAAGGGTTTGGTTGGTGGGATCGAGGGGAGAAAGAAGCTGAAGGGAGAGGAAACTTTTTTTTTTTTGAGACAGAGTCTCGCTTTGTTGCCCACGCTAGAGTGAGTGCCGTGGTGTCAGCCTAGCTCACAGCAACCTCAAACTCTTGGGCTCAAGCAATCCTCCTGCCTCAGCCTCCCGAGTAGCTGGGACTTACAGGCATGCGCCACCATGACCGGCTAATTTTTTCTCTATATATATTAGTTGGCCAATTAATTTCTTTCTATTTATAGTAGAGACGGGGTCTTGCTCTTGCTCAGGCTGGTTTCAAACTCCTGATCTCAAACAATCTGCCCACCTCGGCCTCCCAGAGTGCTAGGATTATAGGTGTGAGCCACTGCGCCCGGCAGGGAGGGGAAACTTTGACCGCAGCAGAGAGCACTGGACTTGAGTTTCTATCACACCTGTGTTTCATGCCGTGCGACCTTGCTTAAGTGACCTTCCAATCTGGCCATCAGATTTCCTCTCTGTAAAAGAGAAGGCTAGCCTGGACAATTCCTTAAGGCTTTTTCTAGGTCTGAGATTTTAGTTTTTTTTTTTTTCTCTAAACTGTCTGCAAAGTAAATGAAACACATAGATAATTAAGAAGTCAGTGAAAAAAATCACAGTAGGGTAAGTCCTCACTTCATGTCATCAATAGGTTCTTGTAACTGAGACTTTAAGTGAAACAAAGAACAGCAGGGTTCTTGAATACCATCGTTTCGTTTGACATCATTTTGTTATAATGTTGATGAGAAAAAAATTGCTTACGTTGTAGTCATTTTGCTTAAAGTTGCAGGTTCCAAGAACTTATTGAAGAAGTTAAAGGAGGGCTTACTGTACTATCCAATGTGCAAGCTGCAGAATGGCAGCCCCTGCCCTACTTTGGAGTGACATTAATAAACAGGTAGAAACTGTGTCATCTGCAAACCACTCCCGAGGAAGCACATCATAGCTGATCCTTCCTTTCCTGTCTGAAGATCGTTCATTTCCACCCCAGGAGGCCATCTCCTCTGGGCTCCTCTTGTTGGTCATCTCCATTATTGTTATTTGCTCTTTTCTCCCAAGGTGTGTGGAGCCTGGCATGGTACTGGGTTGGATTTCTACTTTTGATAGCACTTTGGTTGTTGCTTATGTGTGCTTCGAAGGTTCTGGGTCCCCAGTGTCTCGAGTTTGTGCTCTTCGGAGTTGCGGCCGTGTGGCACAGGACGCTTGTCTATGGGTTATGAGAGCTGGGCCCTAGTCCCCACAGGGTCACTCACTAGCTCTGTGATGTGCTCTGCCCAAATTTCAGTCCCCTCAGCTGCACAGTGGGGAGCATAGTGTGCAGCACCTCTACGTCACAGAGTGGCTGTCAGGCCAGGTGTTTGGCGAAGAAACCAAATGAGAGGACGCGTGTGAAAATGTGCTTATAATTATAAGTGGCAGTTAGTAATAGCTGACGTTCGTTGCATGCATACTTTATGTGAGGCACTGTGTTTCGCGCTGTCTGTGCTTTATCTTTTAATCTTCACAGCAGGCCACAAGGTCGATGCCATTGGTATCCCTGCGTTACAGCTGAGGGAGCCGCTTTAGGTTGCCTTGCCTAAGATCACGGAGCTTAGCCTCAAACTTTGTCTGGACGTGGAAGACTGTATCATGGTTACCCTGCTACACTGTGTCTGTGGAAAGCAAAGTGCAGCAGGAACAATATCTGGAAAGGTGGACAGATGACACAGGGGCAGGGAAGGGAGAAACCAAGGCTCAGAGAAGTCTAGGGATTGCTGAAGGTCACACAGCAAATCAGTGATGTGGGGCTTCAGTGTCCAGAGTCTCCGTCATCGTCACCATCATGGAAAATGTTTAGTGAACAATTTACAGAGCATTTACTGTGATAAAACACTTTCCTGCACCTACCACACATAATACATTAATGAGGTCAGTATGGCAAACTTTTTTACTATGGAAAGTTTTCAAAACATTCAGATGTTAGAGCAAATTATACAATAAACCCAATATGCCCATTTCAGCTTTTTATAATCAGCAGCCTTCTGCCATTCTGCAGATAAAGTTTTATTTTTATTTTTAGAAATGGGGTCTTGCTATGTTGCCCAGGCTGGATTCAAACTCCCTGGCTCAAGTGATCCTCCTGCCTCAGCCTTCCAAGTAGCTGGGACTACAGGAGTATGCCACTGCACCCAGCTAGTACAGTTGAATGTTAAACTTAAGAGCGAGCAGTTCTTCCCTTTTTCTTTTTTTTTTTTTGAGACAGACTCTCACTCTGTTGCCCAGGTTAGGGTGCTGTGGCATCAGCCTAGCTCACAGCAACCTCAAACTCCTGGGCTCAAGGAATCCTTCTGCCTCAGCCTCCCGAGTAGATGGGACTACAGGCATGCACCACCATGCCTGGCTAATTTTTTCTCTATATATTTTTAGTTGTTCAGTTGATTTTTTTCTATTTTTAATAGAGATGGGTTCTCACTCTTGCTTAGGCTGGTCTCGAACTCCTGAGCTCAAACGCTCCTCCCACCTCGGCCTCCCAGAGTGTTAGGATTATAGGCATGAGCCACCTTGCCTGGACCCCATTTTCTTTTAATCTAAAAATTTAGCATGGTGTGTGATTTTGTTTTTTGTAATTTTGGACGTTTGGCATGTGCTAGTCTGGTAGCTCTTTGGCCATTACACATGTTATGTCTTTACCCCAGACATCGAATAGGACGGTAAAAACATCGAAGCCTCATGACATACCACTGGAGATCTGAAAAAACACCTGATTCCCCACCTCTTTGGGAAAGACCAATGCGGAGGATAAATATTTCAGGAAGAGAGATATCCCCAGCAGGAAATACCAGCCTGTGTTTTGACTTACTCACCATGGTTGTCTCGGCAATGGAACCAAAGCTGTTGATGAAAATGTTGCAGCTCACGTTCACGGGGGGACCTGCCAAATCAAGAGAGATTTCTGCTTAGCTGCATGGCCATGGAGAAACTCACAGGATAGGACCATTCCTGGAACCCTGACTTCAGGGGCAGATACCCCTTGGTGGAGGACACCCCTGCTTGCCCCAACCCCACTCCCAAGCACCTGCGATTCCTGCCACCATTTTACATTTCTATGCCAGATTTCCTGGTCCCCAAGTGAGTGCCAGGTACAGAACACCAGAGGCTGAGCTGAGATGTACTTTCATTAACACAGGATGATTCATCATCCTGCCATATGGTTGAAATCTTTTCCCCAAACCCCATCGGCTGCCTTGTAATTTGTGGCTGAGATGTATTTATGGCTACAGCATTTGGAGGCCATCTTGGGAATCGCAAGGAACAGCAAGTTCCTTGCCTTGAACTTATGAACCAAGAATGATTGCCTGAAAGGCGTTGATGGGAATCACCCCCTGAGGAATCCAGAGGGAACGTCAAGGAAGGTTCGCAAGTCTTGGTTAAATACTTTTCAGGCAAGTTTTCTGAATCTTACTGCAAAAGATAGGAAGGAAGGAGAGGATTATTCACTGCTTTGGTATCTCATTGGGCTGTCTAGTTGAAGCCCAGTGTCTTCATTTTATACCGCTAATTACAGCAGCTACCATTTACTAGGCATTACGGGCTTTGCTGCAGTGTTGAGAACAGCACTAACATCATCTCATTCCGTCCCCTCAACAGCTGCATGAGAAGGTCTGGTTATTATCTCCATTTACAGATGGGAAAACAGAGGCTCAGAGAGGTTGTTCGCCGCTGGGTACACAGCTAGTAAGTGGTCAAGCCAGGGTCTGAGTTCAGATTTGTCTAACTCCAAAGTTGGTCATCTTGATGGCTGCACTGTAGGAAAGAGGTTCAGAGGAAGGAAAGGGCATGCTCAAGGTCACACGAACAGTGGCAGAATCCTTAATTTAAGCACTGGGCTTCCACATCAACTGAAAAAGGGCCAGCATACAATGGCCAGAAGGGAATGGGAGACCGTGGGTAAGACTGATAGAAGCAGTGGGAGTCCAGGTACAGAGGCTCTTGAGAATGGGACAGGAAAGGCCTCAGATAGCTGACGACCTTGAAGGTGGATAGGACATGAATAGAAGGTCATAACCTTCACGTGAAGATTGTAATTTGCAATTTGTGAACCTTTGCAGGTCTACTTTCTTGATGGCCCCCAGGAGGTACTGAGGTAGGCAGGGCAGAGTTACTGTCCCTACTTCACAAATGGAGCACAGAGAGTTTTTGTAACTCACCCAGGCACATTTAACCAACAAGCGGTGGAGCCAGGACTTGAACCAAGGTTTTCTGAGCGTGGAAAGAAGAAAGTGGAAATCCTTGTGTCCTCTGGTACCCGCTCCATTCCGTCCCTCTTGAAAAAGTAGCCCAAGCATTTCACCCAAACTCAGCTAAGACATTTTCCTTTTCAGAAACCATGGCATATAGGAGGGGACTCAGTTTTGGGGTGAGAATCTAGGTTTTTCGTCCAAGGCAGTGTCAGGACCTCTGGGCTTCAGACATAACTCTAGCACTCACTGGCTATTTGGCCTTAGGAATGGCACTTTCCTTTCCTGGCTCTTCATTTCTCCATGGATCTGGAGGGAGAGTAGTTCTTGAACTAGGCCATCACTCTCAGCTTCAGTGGCTTGGAATTCCTTTACAGAAGCGCTCCATTTGAATTTCAGGGTTACAGGATTTCAGGGCTTGAAGGTTTCTTAAAGGTCGCCTCTGCAATTGCTTTCCAAACTAATGTGTAGACAGGGCTATCTGAACTCGAATCACCTGGGAGACTCGTTAAGCTGCAGATTCCTCAGCCTAACCCCACATTCAGTGAACCCCGGTCTCTGGAGATGAACCCAGATTCTATTGTTTAAGGAGCTATTTGGGCGATTCTCATGCACAGGTAGGTTTGGGGACCACTGCTACAGAGCAGCTGCCCGTTCAAGTTCAAGGCTGAGTGCCTGAGCACCTCCAGCAGCGGGAAACTCATTTCATCTTGAGCAGCCTTTGTCATAGTTGGGTAGCTCTGTCTGCTAAAAACATTTTTCCCTTATACTGAGCGGAAATCTGTCCCCCTGTCCCTCCCACCTAAACAAAGGCCCAGTCAGGTTTCCTTCTCCCTCATTTCGACGCAGACGCAGGCTTTTCTTTTCCTGTAGCCTTGTACCCTAGGACGCCCCGAAGAGTTACTGCCTGTGCCTTGAAATGACGTGCACAGGGTTCCCACGCAGGCCCCGCAAATGTCTGGCGCTGTGACGCTCCTATGAACGAGGTTCTGATTTATGGGTGTGAGGGGGCGCCAGCCGAAAGGACCCCATGGGGAGGTGTGGCTCACTGAAATAAATCTGAAATTAAATTATTCTCGAGAAAATTACAATTGGGCTGCCTTTGGCAGCAGGATAATGTATATATTTCATTAAATATTAAAGTTTAATTTTGCTTTTGTGTATGTGTTTGCATTGGGCTGTGCCCCAGATCCTAGCAGCCATTGCAATACACAAAATCTTAGAAAAGACACAGGATATCAGAGCTGATGATGGTCTTACTGGATCATTTTACAGATATGGTAACGGAGGCCCAGATATGGCAAGCGATTTAGCACGGGTATCAGGTAGGTAGACGGACGACTGGAGCCCAGTTTCAGCGCCCTTTGCTTCTGCATGACGCCACTGTGCCCTGCAGAGTGTGCCGGCTGTCTGCGGCCACCCCTGTCTTCAGGGGGGTCAGGAACAGGAGAGTTTCTGGTGCTTCGGGAAGCTGCCGAGTGATTAATCACTCTTGGAGTTTGCACACAATGCAGGCCTCTTCCTATCGTGGGGTGGGGCGAGGAGGCCTGATCTGCATGGCCATTTCCTGAGCTCTGTGGTTTGCATGTGGCTTTTGGGATCTTATTTGTGCCTGGGTGGACATGTGCAAGGGCTCAGGAGCAGGAGATATCTTCTGGGCAACGTTTCAGCCCTTACCATGAGGGACGGTAGAGAAACCTTCCCAGCTCCTGTGCCTCGCTAGGAATCAGGGGTGTCAAAGGGGCTGGAGCCAGTGCAGGGCTGGGAGAGGCCCAAGAGATGATCCAGTTCTGTAGATTCAGGGTCCAAGTGTTCTGAGTAAGATTCTCAGAGTGAAAAGGGGAAGGGGCTCTGATTCAGTGGTCAGGGTGAGATTTTATTTCTTAAGAACGTCAGCTAAGTAAGTAAATAACTGAAGGAACAAATAAATAAGTCACTAGCATTGGGCAAATAATTGAGTTAGAGTTGCTGGGTTATAGTCCTTGGTCTTGATAGCATGATTTAGGAAAGTCACTTAACTGCTCTAAACCCCAGAATATTTGCTGGTCCATTCATTTATTCATTTGTTAAAGCTTTATTGAGAGCTTTCTATGTGCCAAGTGATGCGGTATGCACAAAGGATAATTCACACATGGACGCTGGATGCACCACATTCAACAGATGCACAAGTCCGTCCTTTCTCAGCAGAGCAAGGCCCTGGCCCCTCTTCAGGATGGAGTTCTGAGAGTGCCCACCAGGGGGCGTGGTGGACTGGAATTCCCGAAAACTGCCAGGGGCAGAGGATGTGGACCTGGCGGCCAGGGGCCATAAGCAGTCCTTAGACGTGTTTAATTTGGCCAACAGTGTTTTTTAAAAGAGGCGATTTAGGTGTCACTTTGGGAAGATTTCATGTGAAACCTCAGACTTAATCTTATCTTAGAGGGCCTTGCTGTCTAGGGTCTGCATCCCTACCTGGCAGTCACCGGCAGGAACTGAGAAGTAGCTGCCCCTAGACAAGCCCTGTGTCTTCTGGTTTTAGTTTCTCATCCTGCTTCATTCGTGTACCATAGCTGCCTGGCCCCTCTGGGCCTTTGAGATTGTGACCCTGGTGAAGGGCCTGGGCAGAGTGCTTGGCCTTGACTTACCTGTCTTCCAGGAACCAAGGTTGAGCTAATGATGCTGGGAGATACGGTCTCCAGCGCAAGGTGCAAAGGGGAGTAAGGGAGCCGCAAGGGAAATGGGGGTGGGAGGTGGAGCCAAGCACGGACCTCAGCGCATCTCCCAGACCATCCTCTATCTGCAGAGCCAGGCAGAGGGAGCGTTCTGAGAAGGGGACTTGACAGCAGGGGCAAAGTGAGAAAATATTAGGAAGTTGTTACCGGCTGTCACATGCCTTGTTTGGTCTTGGACTTGAGCCAAAAGGAACAGCGAAGAAGGACATCTAGAATCAAGAATTGATTAGGAGGCTGGCTGCAGGTCCTTGGAATGGAATTTTTGCAGGGGTGCTGGGAGGAAGGTCAGAGTGCACAGGAGACCAAGGAGGTCCTCAGCAACGCGCCTTCGGGATTCTGCTCAGCGGCTTGGGATGGTTACAGCCTCCTAAGGCGTCAGTGAACAGAGGGACCTGGTCTTTTCTCGTTACAGACATTAAGATCCTCTAGGACTAGCCGGGCGAGGTGGCTCACGCCTGTAATCCTAGCACTCTGGGAGGGCTGAGGGCGGGCCGGATTGCCTCGAGGTAGGAGTTCAACAAACAGACTGAGCATGAGCAATGACCCATTCTACTATGAAATAGAAAGAAATAATGGCCAACCTAATACATTAAGAAAAATTAACCGGCAGTCCGTGGCCGCATGCTGTCAGTCCAGTTACTCCCGCGAGGCTGAGGCAGGAGGATCACTTGAGCCCAGGATGTTGAGGTTGGGCTGTGAGCTAGGCTGACGCCAAGCAGCCCCCCGATCTAGCCTGGGCAACAAAACGAGACTCTGTCTTGAAAAAAAAAAAAAAAAGATCCTCTAGGACTATGAGAGCTAGAAGAACCTTCTCAGATCACCTGGACTAGGGTTTATATGTTGGCAACCCTCAGGGCATGTCTGGGTCACAACATGTTTTGTTTGAATTCATATGTTTTGGGAATAGGGAAGTCTTAGGTAGATCTTGATTTCTAGCTCTTCTTGTAATAATTGATACCTGGCAACATGGGGCCCACATTCCTGTAGGGCAACTACAGGCTGGGGCTAAGGAGAGACTGCCCTCTTTAGAGGATCCTGTACCTCTATTTCTCCATAGTCTCTACCACTCCCTATTGCCTTACTATTGGCTCACCTCACTCATTTAAGTTACCTACCTAACGCTGGTAGGCATTTGAAATTGTGACTCTGATTTAGCCTAGAAACTTTCAAAATCATTTGTTAATCCCTGAGAAACCTTTAGCAGGTGAATTTTAGCTAGAAGCCCCTTATCTAAAATAAAGAAAAGTGCAGCGGCTTGGGAAGAAGCAGGGGTAGGCCTGCTCATTGTGTCTTCTGCTTCTCTCCTTTGGGGCACCTGGTAGAAGCCCTAAAGCTCCATGAAGCATATGTTTGAAAATGCAGATGTAGCCAAGCCCACTACTGCCGAGATGAGGAAACTGAGGCCCAGAGGAAGAGGGAGGCTTATTCAAGCTCAGTGAGTACGTTTGGGCTTCAGCCAAAACTTTGAACCCATTTTTCCACGTTCCATGTTTATCCTCTTGCCCATTATACCCGGGTTAGAAAAAAGGTTTTAATTCACTCGCTGACTCCTGGCAACCAGAGGTACTGTTAAGTGGGACCCTCTGAGGCTTCGTCTGGGCTTGGTGGTAGGGAAGACTGAATTGATTAACAATGCCTGCTTAGGTGGAGGAAAGGGTCATGGGATCCGTCCCACGTATTTGCCACCTGCATACAGTAATGCGTTGCTTGCGTCTGTTGTATAATCCGGGAAAGCACTTCCCCTGTGGATGTGGAGAGAATGTTTTCTCACCTTTAAAATTGGGCCTGATCCTGGCATCATATCCAGAGGTTCTCCCCATCAGCTTATCCAGGAAATCCGAGGGTGACATAGGCTTGGGCGCGGAGCGGGCGGCTTCGGCCTCCTTAGAAGCGGCAAGGCTAAGAAGGGAGACAGGAAAGCAAAGGGTTAATGATGGCCTTTCCCGCCGCTGGGATCAGATCCCAGCCTTGTCCAGCCCCTGTAGAACTACTAGAGCGTTCTCAGCCTGAGAAACAGGTAACACGGGTCTTTAATGAGGTAAGACCTGGGCCGAATTGTTTACCCAGCCCAAATATCAGCAGGCGAGGGACCCGGCAGGCAGCCGAGTATCTGATTGTCGCTGAGAAGCCGCTGACTCTTAGGGCTTCATCTCAGGGAGTCTGAGTAGTCACACTTGGCCGCTGTGTCTCCCTGGGAGAGGAGATGCAAGGGTTAACCTTCCTGGTGACCCAGCCCTGTGTTTTGGGTACCTGCACTCTCATAGGTCCGAGGAACAGCATAGCCAGAAAGGACCTTAAAAATCAAATAATCCGGCTTTTCTTCACGGTTTCTCTTCAGGATCACAGTCAGTAATTAAACAAATAGTTGCCCAAGTCAAATGCATCCTAGAACACAAATTTATTCAGGTATCTTTACCTCGGTCTCAGACCCTTTGACAAGCATGAATGCTTATATTTATGAGACTGCTATCACACACACTGTAGAAAACGCTCAGCTGGGACAATTGAGGCCCAGCTAGTGGAAGGGACCGATTTAGGTCCCAGAGTAAATCGGCGGTAGCCTGGCTCATTGTATCAAGCCACAGGATTTGAAATCAAAGTACTGGGGAGGCTTCACACTGTTTCTGTCACCTCTACACCCCACTCCCACTCGACAAAGTGGTTTTAGGTCCTCATCCACGGCACAGTGTGAATTACTAATGTCTGAGAGCAATGGCCCCCCTGCTGCCAAACTCTGGAAGGTGTACAAATGTCAACAAGAGTCAAGATTGGAGGCTCAAGGGCTGAAGAACACTCATTTGGGTTGCTTTGGGCAGCTGAGATTTCCTAGTTCTGAAATTTTATGTAGGAGATAGCAGGGAGCTATATGCAACCCTGTCACATGCTTGTGGGGCTGGTATGTGGAGAAAATGCGTGGATAGAGAGGTGTGTGTGTGTGTGTGTGTGAGAGAGAGAGAGAGAGAGAGAGAGATGGAAGCTTCTGTCACCTAGCCAAGCAGGACATGGTGCTCCCCAAGGATTTTTCCTTGACCTCTCTTGTTCTTCCTCTGGCCTTTTCTGATTTCATCAGTTGCAATTGTTTAATTTACAAATTTATGATTTATAAATCTATGCCTCCACCCCAGTGTTTCCCTTAAAGCCCCTCTTGACATCTGCAAACACCTGCGGGGCATGTTCATCTCAATGTCCCTCCTGTGCCTCAAGTCCGTCTCCCAAACTGAATGCCACAGCTTCCTCCCCACACTTGCTCCTCCAGATCAGTTTCCCAAGATGACACCAGTATATCCGCACTCTCTGGGATTAGAAGCCTCGGAGCCAACTTCTCTCCACACCCTCCTTCCATGCAAATCCACTCACTCACCAGGTCCTGTCTAGCCATGGGCCCTGCTACCTTGCAATGGAGTTATTTGTGTCTATGTTTTAAGAGCAGGAATCATGGTGGTTTGATTCGTTGTTTATTTGTTTGTTCTTTTAATCCCCCACCGTGTCTACCATGGTGTCTCAAATTTAACTGGTGCTCAGTAATTGCATAGTAAATGAAAGAATAAATAATATGCTACTTTGATTAATCAAATATCCTGGCTAGTAGGAAGTGTTCATAAATATTTATATATGCATTAATAATTTTCACATAATTAGACTATTATACACAGTAATGAAAACTACTGAAAGCAATTTGGTATTCCTGTGAAGATTCAGAAGGTATTCTAGGATTATTTAGACATTCTTTCTTAGTAACCTGAAGATCCCTTACTCATACCTTGAAAAGCTGGTTTTGATGGACAGGATGAGGGACAAATGCATTTTACTGCTTCTTTGTGTGTCACTGTGGATGTAGGTGAGTTTGTGTGATGTGTACGTTTGTTGTGTATGCAAATGGATGAGTGTGGACGTATGCAGGGATTAGGGTGTGCGTGGGGTGTTTGTGGATGCATTGTGGATTGTGTTACATAGATTCGTATGTGAAAAATGTTAACATTAGTCTTTATGTGAATGCATTAATATATTGGTAAGTGCGGTATTTAGTATGGGCATTTTTGTGTGTATATGTGTGGTGTATGTATGCATGGGGTATAGGGTATGGATGTGTAAAATGTCTTTGTAAATGTATGTGTAAAATGTCTTTGTAAATGTATGTCTGTGATGAGCATATTGCATGGGTTTGTTTTTGAAATGTACTGTGAAATACAACATAGTATAATGCAGAAGGGGGAAAAGAGCAGATGATTTGGAATCAATCCTGTCACAGGCATTTATTAGCTGTGTGACCTTGGGAAAGGTACTTAACCTCTGTGAGCTTTAGTTTCATGATCTCTCAAACGAGTTTTGCACAAGGAGTAACTGAGACGGCACAGGTCAAAATGCCTAGGACAGTTCAGGAAACACAGCAGGCACGCGATACGTCGGCTTCCTTTTGCCGTGTGTGTGTGTGTGTGTGTGTGTGTGTGTGTGTGTGTGTGTGTGTGTGTTTGAAGCAGTTCAGAGCCAGTTTGGGGGCTTCTTGCCTCTCGCTGCTTTCGGCTGTACCATGAACCCCACCTGGCCAGAAGGTGCCCCAGCTGCTCTCCCTGGCCCGCAGTTAGTTCCACAGTCCTGGCTTTTCTCCATCCCACACCAGACTCACGGCTGCTGCGTGGCTCTGGCGGGCGCAAAGGGGACCACGGGCGCGCAACTGGTGATTTACGACTTCTCGGCTGCTATAATTCACTTCTGGAACCTCTCTAGGAGTGGCAGTTATGAAGCTTTCATAAGCTCCTGAGCTCTCTCCAGCCCCTCCTCTGATAATAAGATTTGGGAACATCGTGCTCCCTCCCAGCAGCTACTACAGCACAAGCAATCTCTGGGCCCTGAGGCTCCTTTCATAAGCCTGAATCCCATTAGATGGTACAGTGGGAGAATGAATTCACCCAAATTATCCCATACCATTTGCTATTAGCATAACGTGCCATTTAATACCCGAATCCTCCCCAAAGCTGGAGTCCTGCGGTTATTCTAGCGTGCAGGTCTGCAGCAAGGTATTTGCAGTCTGGGCACCTGGCCACTGGCTCACCTAAAACCCGACCGTGCTGAGCTGAACCAGAACCAGAGGGAAGGAAGATTGCGGGGGAGGGGAATAGGTGGTTAAGTAGCTGGCCTCAGGCCACACGGCACTTTAATGAGAGGGGGGATTAAAACTTGAATTTTCAAGTGTTAACATATCTGTATGGGAAAGCCTTTTGTAAATCATGAAGAGTATAAATGATGATAGTTGCTATTATTACCATTTGTTTCTGAAGCTTACTACATCCTGTTACAGCCAAGAAAATCAAAATACGTGTCCAACCGCCAGCAATCCTGATAGACACAGCTCTGAATTTGCCACACTTAAAAATGGAGAAGAAATAGTTGTGGATGTTGTGGCTCACCAGATGATCCTCTGTTTTGTCAAGTGATTCACAGCAGAATTTTTTGAAATGTTGAGATTTTTCCAGTCTAGCCTCTCCCGTGTACCCTTTACCAGGGATTTCTTAGGGTGTCACTTTTATAATTTTTGCCCTGTTTGTGTACCACCTCTACTATTATTCACTTAATTTTTTTTTTATTGAATTATGTCCCTTCTTTTAAACTTACACTTATTTAAGAGGAAACCATATTTCACTACTCGCAAGTGGAAAACTAGCATTACTGGCCATAATAGAAGATATCCATAATAGTGAATGCAATGAAAACAGAACAAAGAGAGGAGAGTTTCAAATTCTAGTTGTCTGCTGCTGCTGGCCAGTGTTCTGAGCCTGAAGCCTGCCCTGAGTTGCAAAGGAAGATCAGCAAGTGTTGGAAAGGCATTAGAGATGTATCAGCACCTAACCCAGGGCGACTTTCGCCTTGAGATAATGAGAAGGATTGAAAGAGAATTGGTTCAATAATAATTCAATGTTATTGAGTATGAATCACTGAAATCAGCCCCCATCCCTCAGTGCCCTAGTCCAAAAGTTCATTAATTCTTTTCCAAATACAAAGGCTCCATTTTAATGCCAAAGTAGCCATGCTCCCCGCCACTCGATAATCCCTGTTCATTTCTGTCTATATTTAGACAGTACAATTTGCACAGGATTATTTCAAGCTCCCCCCGCCCAGGGAGTCTGATGCTCTGTGCGTCTGTGTGGAGCAAATATGCATCAAGGAGCTCTTGGCACATGTTTAGGACCACTACCTCTGGTGAACTTGAGCATTTGCTTGTAGACGGTGAGCTACTGGACAGAGAAGCTGGAAATGAATCTGAGAAATCTGAAACAGTCCATTGTTTGGATTTTTCGACTTTATAAAAGCATTTGGAAATGATGCAAAATTTTTTTCAGGATTACTAAAATGTAACGGGTGAATGAGACTTAGTTTAGACAGATTTAATTCATAGTAATTTTCAGAAAGAGAGTGAGGCTTTAGGAGCCCAAGTTTTCTGTCCCTCACTGAAAAGGCTCATGGCAATAGGTACACAGACTGGGCAGAGCATGAGACTGTATCACCTCTAACCAGAAGATTTGTCACAGAAGATTCGGTACTGCCAGGGGCTCAGTTGTGACTCCTAATGACAGAGGCCACAGAAAAGTCCAGGCTTAGAGTTCAACAGATGGGTGGGGGGGAGGGTGGCAATGTAATGACATGGAGGCTGTGTGACCTTCAGGGAGTCACTTCTTTCCTTGGCTTCCAGTTTCCCAAGATATAAAATGAGGGGATTAGTATAATCTCTAAAAGTCCTTCCAGCCCTAAGCCATCATTTTATGAGTCTATAATATGCCTTTTTTTCCCCTTTTCATATACATGGTCTGGGAATCTGAATTTGTCTGGACTCCTTTTGGGGAATGAGAGTGCTTTTGTGTCTTGGTTCTTGCCCATCCAGTCTCAAGATTTTTCTACAAGGGACCAACCTGTTTCTCCAGGATTTATTGGAAGAAAGACCAGATCAATGCTCAGAATCTCATTCTCCAGTTGCAACATCAATTGGAAATAGGGAATCGATATGGAGTTGTCCATCTGAATTTAAAACGTGCTAGGGTTGGCAATAAGACTGGGGAGAAACAATTTCAACTATGTCTTGCGTGGCACCCCCCCCCCCCCGCCAAGACCGACAGAGTCCATCTCCCCAGTTCACCATGGGCAGAGAAGTCCAGGCGGTCAGGGCGGGAAATGGGTAGGAAGGACAAGGAGAGGGACAGAAGAGGGCCTAGGAAGCTGAGGGTAACCAAGGGAGGGGCCCTCAGGGCTGGAAGAGGAAGCCTGGTCAGTGCTGTAACTGAGAGATTCAGTGAGCACAGAGGATGGGCGCCCAATTGCGCTTGGTGAGAGGACGAGGAGTTTCAAAGAGGCTTTGTGGAGAAAATGACTTTTATAGTAATACTTGAAGGTTGGGCATACAGTCGTCTGGAAAAATAGGAAAGAAAGAGTGTTTTGGGTAGAAGCAGCAGCATGTATAAAGTCTAGAAGTGAGAGAGAACTTGGAGAACTGAAAGGAGTTTAACTTACATATGAGGAAGGGGAGACAGTGCGAACGATCTCGAGAGACTGGACATGATAAGACATGAGGAAGGATGCTTGAGTCCATGGGGTTGGGGGTGGCAGGGATTGGACCCCCTGCCCTATGTCCTTATGTCAGGTCTGAAGGTTAAGAGAAGATTATCCTTCCTCAATCCCTTTTCAGTAAAAATAATCTATCTGATTTCTCAGCTATTCTGGGGTTAAATTATGGCCTGGCCAAGCTTGGGAAATGGTCCCTCCAAAGATACTTTCAAATGGTGGGTGTCTTTGCCTTCCAGGCAACTTGTCCCCTGATTTGGGCCAGAATATCTGCTTTGCCTTGGCAGGGCGGTAATCCAGCGGCCTC